ATCCATCCATCCATCCATCCATCCATCCATCCATCCATCCATCCATCCATCTCTCCTATTTCCCCCACACCTTTCTCCTTAAAAAAGAACCAAGACGGCTTACATTATTGAAAGACAATATTTAAAGCCAATAAACAATGAGTATAAAAAGGCAGCTTACGTAATTAAAAGACAACATTTAAAGCAAAAAACACTTAAGTATCAAAATGTTTAAAAAGAACAAACCAATAACAGTCTGAGAAATGGTAAACACAAGCAACCGTTGAATGTTGGATTAATGAATGGGTACTTTTGAGGAGAAAAGCAGGGTATAAATATTAGAAGTAAATAATGTTTGTTGTGACCGTTGTGTGCTCTGAATGGTCCTGATGTTGAAATGAGACTAAAGGAAGAAATGAGATGCATCCATAAATTGACTGAATTTCTACCTGTCTTTTTCTCCCTCTTGATCTTCCAGATAAATTGTTTTATATTTACACTTCTGGCACCACGGGGTTACCGAAGGCTGCGATCATCGTGCACAGCAGGTTAGTAAGAAGGGGTCGGATCTGCATGGAAAGAGGAAGGGATGGGTATCCTCAGCTGTTTGTACAAACGAGGGAATTTGTGGGGATCCACGTACAATTGATTCCATTCACAAAGGGATCCAGTCACTCGGTGGAAATTTATAAAAGAAAGAAAAGTCTCATGCATGCTCTGTGAGATGTTGCACCTTCAGACTCCCTGTGTCTTGCTTTGGCTAATCCTCAGTTCTGTGTCCTTTGCCTTCTGCCCCAGGTATTTCCGTATGGCGTCCCTGGTCTATTACGGCTTCCGTCTGAAGCCTGACGACGTAGTTTATGACTGTCTCCCACTGTACCACTCGGCAGGTGACTCAAGCGTGCCATTTTTCTGGAAACGTTTACCTCGTTTTCACTCATCCGTTTCCCAGGAAGGCTCTAAAATGTGGGAGTCAAAATGGAAGGAAAATATATTTAATTTCCTTAACAATTTTGCAGTAACATCGCTGTAAAATTCATCTTGATCGTGGAACATCTCTGATAGCTTAGTCCATTTTGGTACCTAAGACGCACCTTTCCATAAGACGCACCAATTTTTTAGGAGAAGAAAACAGGAAAATATAATCTGTTTTCTTCTCTCCATAAGACGCACAGACTTTCTACCCCCTGTTTTGTGGGAAAAAAGTGTGTCTTATGGTGCGAAAAATAGGGTATATTTTACACATTATGGAATATAACTTTTGCAGTCAGTTAGTTTTAAAATGATACACCTGTGGTTCCTCGAGAGTTACCGGAGAACTTCTGGTTCTTTCCATGTCAATCTGGACATTTTGCCTTCTGTCCAGCTTCATTGACGCGTTTCTGAGCTTGCCAGAAATTACTAAGAAACGGTTTGATTCCACATTTGTGGCTCTCAAAAAGAGTCCCATATTTCACATGTGTCGACTCAGAACTGGGACATGCTGTATTAATTCAACATGTTAATATTAAAATTACATTAAAATGGGAGAACAACCCAGCCATAAGGGGTGATGCTTCTAATGTACCTAATGTAAATATAATATGATTGTTTTTTTTTAAATGAGGAGATGCGTTCCTCCCATTTGTCATGCAAGTAACGTTGTTAGTGTCAACGCATTCAGTCTCACGCGTTATTTCCAAGCTCTATATTGTGTTCATCTCGGCCTTCTTCTGCGATCATTGATTTTTTTCCCTCTTCGTCTTTGCTTCCAGGTACCGTAGTTGGAATGGGCCAATGCCTCCTTTACGGAATGACGGTGGTGATCCGGAGAAAGTTCTCAGCCTCTCAGTTCTGGGAAGACTGTGTGAAATACAACTGTACGGTGAGGCGGGGTGAGATGTAGTGAAAATAGCCAGGCCAGGACTGGGAAGTGGTGGGTTACAAGGAACAATATTTCCTGTAGGACATTGGTTTTTGGGGTACTGAGAGATATATCACTGTTCTTTTCTTGTTGTTCAACTGCTAGGAATTTTTTCTTATAACGTCTAACACTTACTGCTACCTACCATCTTCCAGATCATTTCAAAAAGCTGATTTTGAAAGAATCGTGGGATGTTGGCCTTATTTTCTATTTTTCTAGGCTGAAAAAAAAAGTGGATCAAACGAATAGGTGTAGCAAATGAAGATGAATGAAGAATTTCCCGGCTCTGTCCTTTTCCATCCGTGACAACGATTTCTCCACCTTTTTTCCAGGTGGTTCAGTATATCGGGGAGATTTGCCGATACCTCTTGAACCAGCCGCACCACGAACTGGAGCGGAAGCATCGTGTGCGGGTGGCCTTGGGGAACGGCCTGAGGGTCTCCATTTGGAAGGAGTTCATGGAACGCTTTGGGATCTCACAGATCGCCGAGTTTTACGGGGCCACGGAATGCAACTGTAGCGTGGGCAACTTCGACAACAAGGTGGGTGGCCGCGCGCCTTCTTCCTGGCATTCAGGAAGGGAAGGGGGTGTCTTTATGGTGTGCCTTGTGAAATAGGATCACCTTTTCCTCCTGCTTTTGGCTTGTCTCAAGAGGATCGGCCTCCCTGAAAAGGCCTCCATGACACGAGAAACGTTGTTCTGCCTCCTGAAATTGTAGAGCGCCCTGGGTTCCGAGGGCTGGAAGAAAGACAGCCTATCAAAATAAAAGGAAATAAATCTGATTCCCTCCGTTTCACTTCCCTGCAGTTTGGGGCTTGTGGTTTCAATAGCAGGATCTTTCCCAACGTTCATCCGGTCAAGCTCGTCCGAGTCAACGAGGACACCATGGAGCTAGTCCGGGGACCGGACGGCCTCTGCATCCTGTGTAAACCAGGTGAGGTGGGAGGGTGGACCTTCTGGGGACGGACAGTGATGAGATGTCCGCAGCTTGATGTGGAGGAAGAAAATCTGGCCAGAGAACTCTGGACAAATGTCTTCCTTCCTTGCTCCATAGCTGTAGTTCCTTCCTTCTGTCCTTCCATCCATTCATCCATCCGTTCGTTCATTCATTCATTCATTCATTCATTCATTCATTCATTCATTCATTCATTCATTCATTCATTTGCAGNATTCATTCATTCATTCATTCATTCATTCATTCATTCATTCATTCATTTGCAGGAGAGCCAGGTCAGCTGGTCGGACGCATCAAGCAAAACGACCCCATGCAACGTTTTGATGGCTACTTGAACCACGACGCCAACGCTAAGAAGATCGCCCGCGACATCTTCACCCACGGCGACTCTGCTTACCTCACAGGTTTTTTGTTTTAAGTGGCCATTCTCATTGCCAAGAATGATAAGGTTCTGGATCAGGAGGGAGTGCCAACTTTATTTCATAGATGTGTACATTTCTGGGGATTGATTTTAGCCCCAGAAGGGATCGGAGATGTAAGTCACACTAGTGACGCGACTCGGATTCAATTCTGTCCCCCCCCCTCCAGGACAGCGATGGCAAGCTTGAAGGATCGCGGCCTTTTCCTTTCGCCCCTCAGCTCCCAAATGCACCACAGGACATTTGGTGAAAAGTCCGGTGTGTCTCGAAAGCTTGCACACTTAATGACATTTTAGTGGTGCCTACTCCTGATTTTGTCCACCCTGGTTTGGGATTTTTGCCCATGGATTTCATGGCTACTTTGATTCTGTTTTGTTCCTCTCGAATGACGGAGGGGGCGATTCTCTCTCCTCTTCCTCAGGGGACGTCCTCGTGATGGACGAACTGGGCTACCTGTACTTCCGGGACCGCACAGGAGATACGTTTCGCTGGAAGGGTGAGAACGTTTCCACGACGGAAGTAGAGGGGACGCTCAGTCGGATCCTGAACATGACTGACGTCATTGTCTACGGTGTGGACGTCCCAGGTACCTGCAGCTGAAGCCACCCAGTGTTGTGGCTTTCCTTTCTTTCTCTATTGAATTAAGATATTTCTAATGCATCCCATAACAGCAGATCGTTGCGATCGAGGAAATTGTGTCGAAAAACCTGGGGAGCAAAGCCACTGAGATAGTGTGTTTGGAGGGTGGGACAAAGGGCTCGGGAGAGGTGGGTTTGGCTCGGATCCCCTCTTGGTGATCTTGGATCAGTCAAAGGGGCTCCACCTGACCTTGAGGGCCGGAATCCTTCTGCTTCTTTCCGCCAGCGTTCAGTGGTGTCGTTTCTTTTCTGAACAAACACTGGCGTCCTTTGGTTGGTGCACCCGCCAGACAAGCGGGTGTGCACGAAAGCACAGAAAGAGCAGCTCAGCTGACTCCTACAGTTTATACATCGGCGTAACTACGCAATAGGATTCTGGGCAAAATAAATGAAAACCCATTTGCCGAGTTTTGGACTTCTTAGGCCCCCTGGTCCCTCATCTGTTTGGAAAAGCATCCAGCCTGCTGGAGAATTCTGGACGAGAAGCTTACTTAGTGGTGGGCTTTATGTGGATCTTAATGAAAACGGTTGCCAACCTGTGTGTGGACTATGGGTTTTGTTTTTATCGCCGCAGGGGGGTTGCGCAGTCACACCTTCTCTAGGACAGGGGAGGGAGGCAAAAAACCCAGAATGTGTGGGTGTTTGTGCGTTTCAGGGACAGAAGGGAAGGCGGGCATGGCTGCGATCGTTGACCCCCACCGTTCCTGTGACCTGGAGGCCTTTACGGAGAACATGAAGAAGGCGCTGCCTGCGTACGCCCGTCCCATTTTCTTGCGGCTGCTGTCACAAGTCAGCACGACCAGTGAGTCTCTTGGGAATTCATTCCCAGCCCTCTTCGAAACCTTCCTTATAGACTGGCGAATGGGATTTCTTTGTAGCGCTTCTGCCAGGCCGCGTCGCCGTGACGCAGTAGGCAGAAAAAGGAGGACTTTTCTTCTTCCTGTGCTAAATTTGTAGGCTGTCGTTTGGAGGGTGGTGGGTATCTCATGAAATTCCCTCCCTTTCCGACTGGGCTGTTTCTCAAGAGGCTTGACATAGGGCTGACCCACGGCATTTTGCTGCCTAAGGCCTGCCCCCCAAAGAGTAAAAAACATCCAACCTAAAGCCAGATGAAATTATTCAGGATCAGAAAGAAATGGATGGCTTTTCTACCCGAGGCCGAGTTCCTTGGGGGGAGGGAAGGATGATGTTTCGGGGGATGCTTTGTGAGGATGTCCCCCAACCCCTTGTGCCGCCTGAGCCAAAGCAGTAAGTTACCTGCCAAAAAAAATCTGCAGGCCGTTTGCCTGTCCCCTAAGCCAGTGGTCTCCAACCTTGGGCCTCTCCCATCACCCGAGACCGAGTTATGAGGGGGGGAAGGATAGTGTTTCAGGAGATGCTTTGTAAGGATGTCCCCAACCCCTTGTGGCGCCTGAGCCAAAGTTACCTGCCAAAAAAGCTGCAGGCCATTCGCCTGTCCCCTGAGCTATCCAAAACAACCAATATTTTGGCCCCGCCAGCCCTCGTTTTCCTCCTTAATTTTGCCCCTTGGGGACCACTGCCCTAAGCTATCCAGAACAACACATATTTTGGCCTCGTCGGCCCTCGTTTTCCTCCTTAATTTTGCCCCTTCCTGGGGCAGATCCCCTGCTTTTTTCAGGAACAGACAAGACTGGACAGGCAGGATGTCGACTGGTGTCGCCAACTGAACGACCGATCATTTAACGGCTGCAAAAACAAAGATGTCCTCCTTGAGTTGTTTTCTTTTCCCTCGGAGAATAAAGCCCTAGGGAAGAAATCGTGGGATGAAGTCGCTTGCGGCTGATTGATTTTCTTCACTTCTGTCTCCCCTCCAACCCTCCAACGCAGGCACCTTCAAATTCCAGAAAGGGGACCTCCGGAAGGAAGGATACGACCCCAACGTGGTGAAGGACCCGATGTATTTCCTGGAGCCCCAGCAGGGCCGGTATTTGCCGCTCACCAAGGAGATCTTCCAGAAGATCCAGTCGGGCCAGGCCAAACTGTAGAAGAAGACCATCTCCGAGGCCTTGGCGGCCTCCATCTTAGGGTTGGCAATAGGAAATTGGGAAGAAGCCGGCGACGCTTGGAGGTGGACCAAAAAGGGACCGTTGGTTCGGGTGGGGTGGATGCTTTTTTGTTTTCGGGTTGTTTGCTTTAATTTTATCAAGTTTACAGAGGACAGACGTAGGTGGGTGTTTTTTTTCAGTGTTTGGGGGGGGCATTGGCAGGTGAGGGAGATGTCTTCATACCAAAGCATAGAAAGATGTTGGCTTTATATTCTGCTTTACGGAAAAGAGGGCCATGCCTCTTGATTCCACCCCAGCTGGGTTCAACAAGGGCAGGTGTTCTACAAAATTCAAAGCTGGACTTTTTTTTTCTTTTTGCACACACACACACACACACCGGCTCCTTATTTTGGCTTTCTTTTCCTTTTTCCACCTCTTGCCCACTGCCAAAAACCCGCAAAGACCGGCAAGGGCTGCACTGCGTCCTCACGCCTTTAGGGGGCGCCGTGGTGCTTTCTGTCCCATTTGGGGGGCAGTCGCATCCCCCACCCCGTTGTCTTGAGTTCTATTTAACCAACTGGCTTCCAATGTCCATCCTCGGGCGGGGGAAAAACAGAAAGCAAGGACGACAGAAAAAATGTAATTTTTTTCATTCCCCCTTTCTTCTTTAATCAGGAGAGATTGTCTCTTTCTTTATGGCTGCTAAAAACGACATCCCTGAAACGTGCAAAGCGTGCAAAGAGGGATGACGGCAATGCTGGGCAGTGGGGAGGGGGAACGTCTCTCTCTCTCTGCCGTGACACAGCTTTTTTTTCCAGGGAAACCATTCTTTTCTACTTGCATTAACAGGACATTTATTTGTGTTTGTATGTGAGGTTTTTCTTGTTGTTGTAATTTATTACATTTTTTTTTTCCAAAAAACGGAGGAGAAGAGAATCGGCTGCAAATGTTGCTTTTCGTTCTCCGCCACGAGATGGCCTGAGTTTCTTCGTTCTGTACGTTCATCCCTCTGACAGCGCTGTATTTTGTATCTTGTAGAAATGCGTCTGCCTTCATGTCCTTTCAGAGAGGATGAGAGGGATAAATCTTTTTTCAAAAAAAAGATCAGATCAGATTGCCCTTATTAAGAAACTGATCAGACGGCCAGTTTCTTAATAAGGGCAATCCCCGGTTGTGTCCTGGTGGGTACCACGTTGCCTTCCAAAGGTTCTTACCTGGTGCTTACGCCTCCTTGCTTTTTTTTCCAGGAGAGGGAGGATCTGTGCATGCATTGTGGCAACTCGGCTCTTAAATAACCAGCAGCAAACGTTCAGGGCATGTCCCTTGTTTGACTTTCCTGCAGTCTCAGAAAGCACAGCACAACACAAATGTGGGTGCACCCTATAGCTGGACCCTCTAGGGGGCAGGCACATGATGCGTGCATAGGAGTGCTTTACCATAGTCACTTCTTAGAAAAGCAGATTTTGCATGGGATGTGTGGACTGACAGCGTTAGATACACGGGAGATGGTGGCGGAGAATTGAATTGCTCCTCAGCTCAGCTGAAAAAAAGAAAAGCTGGTCTTGAGATGTAGCCCAGTTTCTTATGTAGGTGTAGAGGTTAAACTGCAGTATTGCAAGCAAGACTCTGCTTGCAACCTGAATTCGATTCCAGAGGGCTCAGGTAGACGGCTCAAGGTTGACTCAGCCTGCTATCCTTCCAAGGTCAGTAAACTGAGTACCCAGCTTGGGGGGGGGAGGAAATGTGTAGCGTGCATCATTAAATTGTAAACTGCTCAGAGAGAGAGCTTTAAGGACTATGGAGCAGTACAGTGGTGCCTCGTTTGACGATGTTAATTCGTTCCAGCAGAATCGCTGTAGAGCGAAAACATCGTCAAACGAAATAAAAAAGCCCATTGAAATGCATTAAAACCCAGTTAATGCATTCCAATGGGCTGAAAACTCACAGTCCAGTGAAGATCCTCCAGGGGGGCGGCCATTTTCCAAGCCTGTGCAGCGAGGCATCTGTCCCTAAGCACAACGGGGGGCCATTTTCTTCAGCCGGTGGCCATTTTGAAACCCGACAATCAGCTGTTTTTGATTGTCGTAAAGCGAAAATCGGTTCCCGAAGCAGGGAACCGATCATTGCTAAGCGAAATTCCCCCATTTAGACCATCGTAAAACCTCATCATAAAGCGATTTGCTCGTTAAGCGAGGCAATCATTAAGCTGGGCACAACAGTATATGTCGTAGCAGCACGCTTTAGGGTGCAGGGGATAGCTGGTGCTCAGGCTAAGCTCTGGGCATTTTGATGGCAGGCTAGAGTGTGTTGTTGTTTTTTGTTGTTGTTCTGCTTTGAGTACCTGGGAGTTTTGGGTCAGAAAGCCACCCAAGTTCGGCAGCTTATTATGGCTCTGAACCAATTTGCCCTTCAGTAGATCATCTTCCCTGCCCAACCCCAGATTTTTGCCTCCTTACACGACAATGGGTCACGAGCCCAAGGATAGTTCTGTGTCGCTTGCAAGCGTCTCTATTGTCCGGGCTCCACTGCTTCAGAGTTTGTGGCCCCTTCTTACCCCTTTGGCCTCCAGGCTCCTTTGCTACGGACAATCTTTCAGGTACGTTCCGAATGTAGAAAAAGTTTCTTTTTTGGCCTGCGCTCTTGTTGGCAGGTGGATTTTTTAAGGCAGTGAAGACTACGCACAATCTGAAGAGTCACGTCCTTGCCAGGTACTGGATGATGCACTCTTTGTGAGGCATTTCCGGATCCAGACATCCAAGCCGTGTGCAGATGATTTTAGTGCCGCAGGCATTACAGGAACATGACAGTGAAACCCAGGTTGTTTGTAGGAATCATGTGATGCTGTTGCGCTTATTTCGATCATGGGGGTCCCCCGAAGCTGTTCCGGAAGGCCACAGAGAGGCTCCTCGTGACCCCTCCTATGCTGAAATTTTGTCTGTGATTTTGAAAATACATTTTCTACTGGGGGCTTCCAGGAGTAGCCACTCTGGGCTGAAATCATGGAGCCTCTAAAAACCAACCCCAAAATCCAAACACGTAGCAAACATCTGGGTTGCACCTGGTTATCCGTCTCATATCCTCAAATTATGGGTTATTTTTAATCATCACAAGGCCGAGTGTGGTTCATGGAGGAGGCTGGGGGCCATATTTTGGCCCTCGGCTCATCCAGAGTTAAACTTACATGCACAGTTTGTGCCTGTATGAATTGCTTATTCAAGATTTAAGAGCAGGTGTATGAAAGGTGGTTCCCCCCAGTGCTTCACCCTCTAGCTATATCGGAGGACTCCATCATGTCCCAAAGCCACTTTTACTCCTCCCTCCTTCATTCCCAGGATTTTCGTGGCACGGCCCGAGGGTCCTTCCAGGACCAGGTTCCATGTGCCACGATCTATCAGTAGGCATCTAAGGCATTAAAAAGCCTAAAACTGAACAGAGAAAAGCTTCTGCTTTGCCATCTTCCCAAAAGGGTCAGTCAATAATACGCTGTTCTTCTGTACTTCTTTAGTTTCTTGTTTTATCACCTATGCTGTTTCGACATCTACTCAGGGAACATGGTGCTGTCATTGGTGTTTCTGTGTGAATGCATGTCTGTATCGAAAGGGAGGAGAAAAAAAGGGTACTTTTGGGTCTAAGCAAACAAACTGTGTTTTCCCCCCCTTCTTTTCCAAATGGAGGTGTGTCAGCTGTCCGTCGGCCCTCCAATGCATTCCTGTCTCCATCATCCTGGCAACATTTTCTGTTATGTCAAGACATCCCAGCTTGTAAATGCCAGCACTGGAACTAAAGAACAAACATGAAATCTTCGCATCTAATAAAAGAAGATTTCAATGTGGCATGCATTTTTGATTTTGTTACTTATTGTTTCGAGCTCTAACTGATTCAGGCCCGTGGGATCCTCGAAGATCTTTTCCGGAATGGAGGAGAAACCAGAAGGCAGTTCATTTATTTACATGTATTACCCCATTTTTATTCCTCCAGGGAGTTCAAGTCAGTATACGTGGCTCTCCTGATCTGCAATTTATCTTCGCAACCTTGGGAGGTCAATCAGGCTGAGAAAGAGAGAAAGACAACTCAAAGTCAACGTATGAATTTTATTTAGTAGGTAGCTGTGTCAGTCTGTTGCAGCAAAAGAGAAGGCAGAAGTCATCTGCTACCTGCAACACTATTTTTCATAAGCTTTCATGTGTCCTTCAGATGCTACCCCCCCAAAGACACAGCCTTGTGAAGAAGTGTGCTTGGACCCACAAAAGCCTATGAAAAACAAAAGCTAGCTGGTTTTATTGGTGCTGTATGAATTTTTGGTCTCAATGGGGACTAGAATTTGCTACTCTCCTAAATCCCAGTTCAACATTGTAAACCCTGCTTTACCATGTCATCCTCCAGTACTCCTGCATGGTATGATATCTGTTACAACCAGCAGTATTTCAGTGTGGCTGAAATCCTGTTGGCGTAAATTTACACTATGCACGTTGGATAACGTCATCATCCGGCAATGGAGATCTTTAATGCAATGTAAGCGTCCTCATCCGCCGAGGTGGGATTGCTTTTGCCCTCGGGAAGCCTTTCAGAGCCTCAAGAGGAAGGAAAGCTTTAATATCAGGACATGGCTGCCCGATCGCTGGTGGTGTTTCTCGGTTCTAAGACCCCGAGTCCCTTCTTTCACCTTTCCTTGTTCTTTGTCTTCTTTTTCCCCTTTAGCACAAGAGTTCATCCTACTCCCCTCTTCCATGGGGATGCTTTTTCTGAGCCGGAAAAGCCCTCGCTTGGCCTGGTTGCACCAAAACCATTCTTTTATCAGCCGCCTCGTCCAAAGCGGTGGCGAGCGGATGCCAGGAGGACCTGGGGCCCCGGGGTCCTCATGGAGGAGAAGCCATTCCAGAGGCCTGGGATTCGGTGATAATCAGCAGGGTGAGGGTGATGGGGGGGGAGGGAAGTGAGGAGGATGGCCGGGAAGGCCAAGCTGCTTTCCAGTATCACTTTCAGCCATTCGGGAGGTTAAACGCCTGTTTAGAGGCCCCTATTGAAGGTCCAGGCAGGGGTCTGGTATTGTTTAAAGGCCCCCCCTCTCTGCCTTTTGTGTGGAGCTCGCTTTCAGCCCAGGCTGTGAATGGTTTTTTAAAAAGCGCAGTGCCCACCCGCCCCCCTTCTCCGCCATGCACACCCCACTACGCCCACAAGGAGAGGATGGGCCTCGTCATGACATCTACAAGCTTCTCTTGTGGGTTTCTCTCTGCCTGCTTTCTTTCTCGTGGCAGTTTAACCCAACCGGCCTCCGCCTTTGCTGATCTCTGTTTGACACCCAATTACCACATGAATGGGGGGGGGAGCCTTTAACTCCCTCTGACCTCCCTTCCCCTTCCCCCCATCATCACCCCTCTCGTCCCCCAAGATCCCACCCCTCTCTCTCTCCCCCTCTCCCCGCCCCAGAAGAAGAGGTCAAAACGGAGACTTGGAG